GTTAAGGAGAGGAAGTGGGGACAGCAGGCAGAAAGGGATGCTTCCAGGGACACAGAATTGAGTTCTCTCCAGAGAGAGTGCTGGAAAGCATATAATAAAGAATTTCATTTTTAATGTTCTTTTCAGAGCCAAATCTATGTTGATTTCCTACACCGTGGAGCTGTGGGACTTTAGTAGGTAAACCAGTTCTCATTGGAGAACCAATTTCTCAGTATGGAAATGGAGATCATGGGAGGCTTAACCATTAGGAGCAGTTTCTGCTCTTGAAAACAACCTGGATTTGGTTCTTAGAACCCACTTGGTTCTGGCTCATAACCACCTTTAACTCCAATTCCAGGGATGGTGCCAGCTTTCCTGGCTTCGGCTGGCACTATAAGTGCAGATCACAGGGGCTGAGAGATGGCTCAGAGGTTAAGAGCACTGGCTGTTCTTCCAAAGGTCCTGAGTTCAATTCCCAGCAACCACATGGTGGCTCACAACCATCTGTAATAAGATTTGGTGCCCTCTTCTGGCCTGCAGGGATACCTGCAGGCAGGTGCTGTATACATAATTAATAAATAAATCTTAAAAAATAAAATTTAAAAAAAGTGCATATCACCACCAGGCAAAGCACTAAGAAAGATGGAATAAAAATAACTAGATCTGGGGCTGGAGAGATGGCTCAGCGGTTAAGAGCATTGCCTGCTCTTCCAAGGGTTCTGAGTTCAATTTCCAGCAACCACATGGTGGCTCACAACCATCTGTAATGAGGTCTGGTGACCTTTTCTGGCCTGCAGATGTACACACAGACAGAAGATTGTATACATAATAAATAAATAAATATTTTATAAAAAGACTAGATCTTTAAGAAAAACAATCCAGATGACTAGACTTCACACAGTCTTCGCAACTAAGCTAGCACTACCACATGTCACCAGTCTGGGAAAAGCTGGGCCAGAGAAGATGGAATCACAGTGGGATGGGATCCACTCCCCACCCCCCAACTCCATGACTCCATTTTCCCCATCCTACTTCACAGCAGAGGCTGAACCGCCAGGGCCTGTTACGTACCTTGAGCTGTGAGTGATGGTACATCCACCGCAGGGCGGCAGAGGTCATACTGGGGGTGCTGGTGCCATAGCTAGATTTCAAAGCCTTCTCTACCAGAGCGATGCCCTTGAAGTATTCATCCTTCCAGTACCTGAATGGGTGGGGGACAGTGACATGGGGGTCAGTTTCTCAGGGGTCACTAGAGGGTGACCTAACCCCTGGATCCCTGAGGTGGCTTCTGTCCTCAGGCAGAGCTCTGCCTCTTTAGTGTCTGAACACAGAGGTCTCCAAGGCCACTCGTAGGTCAGTGAGAGACACAGAGGACAAGAATCTGGTATTTTAAATGCTTGTCAAATGTTAACAATTCAGCTCCCTAAATGAGGCCTCTCAGTTGGCACAACACCACACTTGTGAGCCCTGGGTCACACAGGCTAAAATCCTGGACAACAGCCTGGCTTCTGAGGTCAACTCCCTTCCCTGTACTCACTGGTCTACTTCCTGAGGGAGGAACAATTTCACTGAAGTGTGTCTTAGCAACATGGTCAGAAGAGAAGCTGATTGCGCTGGATTCTGAAGGACAGCAGGCCTTGATTCTCTAAAGGAGAACCCTGGGATCTGACAGTGTATGAAATGCCTTCAGAACCACTGATCAAGGCAGTGGTTTGTAATCCAGGCGAAGGATCACAGACTGTTAGTGGTGCAGGGGTTCTTTGTGGTTGCCATTTTGTCCTGAGATGCTGAGCATCAAATGCAAGGCGTCCTCACACCCAACCTTTGCATGCTACCAGTGAGCAGCACACTCCCTTACAGGTCAGGCTTGAATCAAGCCGTGTGCACAGTAAGGCTACTGCAGATGGCTCACTGCTTTTACCTCTGATACTTTCCACAATCCTGCATGAGCCTCATGCAGGAAGCGTGACAAACAGAGAATACAAACAGTAACTGTATCGGTCTGTGCTCACCAACCTTGGAGACATGACAACTGAGGTGCTAGATGGGAAAGGATTATAAGTGTTCTACACAGTGGCTGGTCATGGGGGCACACACACCTAATCCCTACGTGTCAGGAGGCTGAGTCAGGAGCATCACAAGTTGTACATTATACTGGGTCAATCCAACCTCAAAAAAAAAAATGTCACTTGGGAAAAAAGATTGAATCGTTGATATTTTTTCAAATTTTTTTTCCTATTTTTGTAGTGCTGGGAATCAAAGCCAGATCTTTGAGCACTCCATCCCCAGGCAATAGGCAGGTCTTGCACTTGTAATCTTTCTGCCTCAGTTTCCCCAGTCAGATACATTTTTAGGTACTGAAAATTTGGAGCAGAGCATCGTGAAAGTCACTAGGAATGCTAGCTCATTGCCAAGTAGTGGTGGCACAAACCCATAATCCCAGCAAGCAGGGGGCAGAGGCAGGCAGATCTCTAAGGTGAAGAGCATTCTGATCAAAAGGGTGAGTTCCAGGACAACCAGTGCTACACACACACACACACACACACACACACAC